TTCCCGATACGGTCCGATGCTCTGACTCGCTGACACAGTTTAAAACTAGACTAAAGACGTGTCTCTTTAGTCAAGCATTCACATAATGCTTACCTTTTAGTCCTCTGCTATGCCATACGGAACCGTTTGCCACTGAAACTGCTTAACGCACCAGTGGGGCTCGACAGCCTTATAGACAAACGGGTCGGTCCGTATGGTTGCGGTTGGGTTGCGGAGAGTTTGGGTTACGGAGAGTTGTGAGATTATGGTTTTCTAACACCTACTCCCGTGTAATGGAAATCATTATGAACATCAGCTATGCTAATTATTTCCCATCTGCCTTTCTGCTGTTATCTCGGGACGCTTGTCCCGAGAAAAATGGCGTTCGTAGGCTCCAGTTTGGTATCCTGCCTCTCACGGGGATTTCGGATGCCTCAACGCCTGTGATGAGAAGACCAACGCCTGTGAAGAGACGACTCAACGCCTGCGAAGAGACGACTCAACGCCGGCGATATGTTATCCCCTAAATATTACATGATTAACTAAATGTATTTTTTCCAGGTACTCTCTGATATGGACTTACTGTAAAGCTTCTTTAAAACCCTATGATTGTTAGCCAGAGGAGAACTGGCCCCTGACTAGCCTGGGTTCTCCCAAGGTTTTTTTCTCCATCCAATCTGATGGAGTTTTGGTTCCTTGCCACTGTCGCCTTGCTTTTGGCTTGCTTAGTTGGGGATATTTAATATTCAACAATATTATTGAACTGTGTTGTACTACTTTCATGTTATCACTGTGAAGCTGCTTTGATGCAATCTGTATTGTGAAAAGCGCTATATAAATAAATGTGACTTGACTTGACTTGACTTGATAGTTCATTTCTGTAGTAAACAAAGTTATTAATTTAGTTCACATATATATATATATAGCCGCTCTGGAGAAAACCAGCTCAGTTCTCATATAATGCTGTCAATGCAGGAGATCAATAATATTGTTGAAAATTAAATGAAATGTCCCCAACTAACCGACCTCTCCAGGATTGCGGGATGTGGTTACGGGAGCGTTTAGGTCACGGCCGTTCAGGGAAATACAGCTAAGAGTTTCCTAGATGATTCCACGATCAAAGCACAGGAAACTTTAAAATAGAGTTCACTAGAAACGAAGGACAATTAGGAGCCGGGAAGTGACAAGTCGAGGGTCATGCGCGCTCTGATCTCCGCCAGGCTTTATTTGTCTGTAAAAAACCCTCTCCCGTAAGACACTTCGCACTCCAGCCTATCTCTAAGCTCGTGCGGGCTCTACAAACAGGGCTCTTGTGGCCAAATTACTGCTGCATTTATTAATTTTCTACGAGGGAGCAAATTAAAGGCTGATAATGGGAACAAATATGGCTGGGATTTCTCACCAGGGTCTGAAGTAGTTCATTATGCCGAGGCATTGTCTCTAAGCATGCTGGGCCAGCGGTGATTCCAGGGGCATTTAATCCTCCAATTAGCCCCGGGAAAAACCAGTTGCCCCGACTCTGGTGAAGCGCACATCTCTAGGGCAGAGGAGCAAGTGTGGAGAGGCTCAAGAAACGCATGTCCTCCCTCCACTTTATGGTGAACAGGGTTTGATATTAACACAGTTGTAAAAATCAACTGTGGTGGGTAACGCTGTCAAATCACGAGTTTCAAGTTACTTTATTATGCTACTCAGTTTGCTGGGGAAGTGTGTGAGATGTGCAGTGTTACTTTATTTTATTCACATTCAAATTGATCATCGCCTTTACTCTGATCAGGGTTTATAGTAATGATGTGAATACTCTACAAATGAAGCATTTGTAGAGGTTTATATCTGAGTACAGGGTTTGAAACTAGCACCCGCCAACCGGGTAAAAATCAACTGTGGCGGGTAACGCTGTCAAATCACGAGCCAATTCGGCGTGTTAGTTATGTTTACTCAGTTTGCTGGGGAAGTTCGTGTGAGACAAATTTAGTGCAAATACTCCTGAGTCCTCATGATATATTAAACATAGTATATCGCGCAGAATCTGCTCATATCTGACTTACCTGAACACACACGTCACTACGCAACAAATAACGGCACGCTTGTTCATTTGCATTGAAGCAATAGCGAAGATTAAAAAGCATTTGGTGAACAGAAAAGACATTATTTTCCAACATCCGACATGTTTTTGATGTTCTTTGTACTGTATTGATCTGTCCATCTAAAACACATTAATGGTGAAAATGAAGAGGAAGAGAGAAGATGCTGGATGACAGGATTTAGTTTGAATAAGAAATTAATTGTATAATATATCTGTATCTCTAAGCTGTGACGTAGTTAATCTGATTCTTTTTTTTGGCAAGTAGAAGTTCTGAATGGCCGGTAACTAAAATTGTGTAGCCAAATTGGCCCGTGAGTGAAAAAGTTAATTTCAAGCCCTGATGGTGAATACTTGAAACTACTAAATTCTGGCAACAGATTGCACTGTCCAAAACACACCTGACGTCTGAATTATATATATATATATATATATATATATATATATATACCATAATGGGCCGTTCTTGAGCTCGAGGGAAGCTTTGGAGGAAGGTTTTCTGGGAAAGGCCTTCACCTTGGAGTTGGTTTCTCATGGAAGGAGCTACAGGGGGGGGATTTTAATTAAGCATGGAGGTGCTGGGGGGAATGATCCATGAACAAAGCCTTCAGTGGTGTACAAACAGCCCCAGCGCTACCCCCCACTGGCAGGAGCCCCGCGTGCACTTTAATGGATGGGATTAACAGCCAATCAGGGAGTCTCTTTATGATACCCTCATGCTATCATTCATCTTGTCCTTACCAAACTTCCTGTTAGATACCCTAAAACTGGTCTCAGAGGGGTCTAAAACCACGAGGAGGAGATCAACTGGTAAAAGTAGAAGTATTACTTTAAGATCATGAGCAGGTTAAAGCTAAATATGAAGACTTGAGCATTTTTTGGTCCAGATTTTAGGGGAATTGTGTGGAATAGTAAAAGTTATACAAGTTTCACTTTAGGGTGTGAGGATGTACTCCAAATGGTGACTGAAAACAGTTATTTATATTTTTATTTCAGGATTCTTTGATGAATAGAAAGTTCAAAAGAACAGCATTTATCAGAAATAGAAGCTTTTGTCACATTAAACACTATAACGTTTTAAAAGTTTGGGGTCAGTAAGAATTTTTATTTTATTTTTTGGGGGAAAGAAATGAAAGAAATCAATACTTTTCATCAAGGATGAATTAAATAGATCAAAAGTTACAGTAAAGACATTTATAATGTAACAAAATATTCTATTTCAAATAAATGCTGTTCTTTTGAACTTTCTATTCATCAAAGAATCCTGAAAAATTATTTTACACAACGGTTTTCAACATTGATAATAATAAAAAAAATTTTTTGATTATCAAATCATCATATTAGAGTGATTTCTGAAGGATCATGTGACACTAAAGACTGGAGAAATGATGCTGAAAATTCAGCTTCGATCACAGGAATAAATTACGATATAAAATATATATTTTTTTAAATTGTCATAATATTTAACAATATTACATTTTTTTTGTGGTATTTTTAATAAAATAAATGCAGCCTTGGTGAGCAGAAGAGACTTCTTTTAAAAATGGTCCTGATCCCAAGCTGGTAGTGTAGATTTAGTGTGGGCCTCTTCATGGGTCTGATTCCCAGGGAATACACACCGTACACACACACACACACACTGACCACTCAAACTCAAAGGAAAACCAGTGAAGGTGCAAAAATAATTCGAACAAACGCTCAACCAAACACAGACACACAGTAGTTAAGCACACAAACATGCTGGTGTTCATTTAAAAAATATAACTTTTAATAAAGGCTACATCTCTTCATAATTACAATAATTAAAGTACCAAGTCGTCTTTAAAATGAAGCTCTATATAATGCATAATTTACATTTTAAGTGGAACACAAACAAAATTTGGGGAGGAAAACACTGAAAAGTAATGTCATGATTACAAGATATCCAAAGCATAAAAAACTTATTTTAAACATAAACCCCTCAGAAAAGCAAGGGAATATTCACACCCTGAAACAGGGCAGCACACAGCATGGTATCCATGTAGGCACAGGTACTGTATAATACACTAGCGATGGCATGTTTTTATCCGCTCATGCCAATTTATCCAACTCCAGGCCTTTTCCATTCGACGTTTACACAGGACATTAACCCTTTCCATGCACACTCTCGGATCTCTCTCAGACCGTGCTGAATTTAAGTTTTAAAATAGTATAACTTCCTATTACTGTTGTTTTTTTTGTTTTGTTTTTTAAGAGTTTTGGAACAGGTTCCAGGACAAGGCTATTGGTTCCTGTGCAATGTCTGGACCTTAAACCAAAGGCACTATAAAGATGCAACAACTATTAACTGGGCGTTAAAGGTAGAAATTTCCACCCAATCAGCAGAGAGGTTTGGAGAGGGTTCGTTCTCATTGGCAAGAGGACACAATTCCTGGTACAAGTCTTTTGAGTTAAGGTGACGTGACTCTAGACATCCGTCCATGCATGTATAACATTGGAAAGATCTCCCAATCAAATAAGCAGCTTGTCCATCATCTGAACACAGGTATGAGGGGAATGACAGTTTAATAAATAGCAATAAAGTCTTTAACTTGTGACAGAAGCATATTATAACTTTGTGTACATATGAGCACCTCTGTATTACACATGCACACATTCTCGCATTCAACACATGTATACACATTTATAATTATCACAAATGCTGGTCAGCAGTTCATAGTAAGGTAACACACCAATGTTGGCATGTTGTAGTCCAAACAAGCAAGTGGTTTGACTGCATCTTCATTGGTCATAGTTTTCCCAAAGCAAAGGAACGATTTCTCACGATGCATTGCTGGTTCAGATCCCTCTGTACTTCATAGGCTAGTATTCCTTCAATAGCTTGGTACGCCAAACGTCTAAACTTCTTAAGCTTCATAAAAACGTCTATTTTCTGCTCTTCGAGTTAAGTCTTGAGTGCTGGGTAAGTCCACATGTGGGCTGTCGTGTTCATCTAGTCCATTCTCTCCACTTTGCCGAGGATTTTGCCCTCATACATGGGCAGAACTGTGCAGTCGTCCCAGACCTCCTCAAACACAGCGCCGCATTCAAACTCATCACTGGCCTTCTTGAAGTAGTACCTGAAACAGAGAACATGTACGATCAACAAACTGCTGATGGCATTCAAAAACATGTAGATCTATAGGTCAAAGGGCATTCTTCCATTCCAGAAAACAACAAACGTCTGTGTTTCAAGCCTATGGACCAATTCATGTTGACTTTAAATATCCGGTAACACTTTATTTTGATGGTCCCTTTTGAACATTCGTTTGACCATAAGCAACTTTATGTCAACTAACTCTCATTAGAGTATTAGTAGACTCTCTGCTAACTCTTTATTGTGATGATCCTCCAACAGACATTATACTGACTTTGCAAGTACATGTGAACTTATTCTAACCCTACCAGTCGACTAATACTCTACTAACACTCAAATGAGAGTTAGTAGACATGTAGGTGTGACGCTACTTATAGTCAACAGAATGTGTTAAAGGGACCATCAAACTAAAGTGAAACCAAATATCCGTATCAGACACTTATGCGATCCTGCATTGCACTCCACTATTTGGGGGACAAAGAGTTGCTTTAGCCTAAATTAGAGGGTCTGTTAAACAGCACCACCAATCTACCATCAGGCTTCTTGTGTCTAATTGGGAGCTCTGTGAGCAAATGACGGGGATCTTTCACAAGGGTTGACATTTCTGGGTGCCGAGGAGTCTACACTAACTTTTTTCATTACCACATTGTGATGGGGACGAGTCTGAGCTTAATCTAGTGTTTGACCTTGATGGATAGCCTCTTTGCCTCATTTCTATTGTCCGATTTGTCCCTTTCCCTCCACCTCTGATGCACTAATGATCTCCACCTCCTCCAGAAGAAAGAGAAAACAGTGGGAGGGGAGGGAGTGGTGAGGTTTGCCTCAGTAATTGGCTTTGTAATGGAAAATGCCCCCTCTTACTAAATTGCGCTGCGGTGCATGCTAGGTTTTTACAAGCAAACACCACCAAGTCATAGAAACAGTTCACATAAAACACACACACAGGAATAACTATGAATCAAAACAACAAGCAACGAGAACAAAGTTTCTTTTCTTCTTTCAATATGTCGGAAACGATCCATTGTTTTCCCACTGCCCAAGCTTAACTTCATAAATGAGGGACAAACTAGAATACTTGCAACATGGCACATAATTACATCCTTATTTCTGGAGAATAAGCTAAATCCTCCTCCGCAAAATCTTCAAAAGGGCAGCATGGCTCTTATTTGTTTGAAAAAAAAAGAGAGAGGGAGAAGAAGAAAGAAAAAGAGAAAGAAGTCTTTCCATTGGAGCATGTTTTATATGGCAAGATTTTCTCTTCGCAACATCTGGCACCAATATCGTCTGGCAACTCTGGCAGTACTGTTCTTTGTTGAATTTCTGCCATGTTGAAATGACCCGACTCCACACATTTTCTGCGATTAAAACCTTCAGCTTTGAATTCCCTTTTCCTTGAAAATGTGCATGGTCAGAGAAGGGTCCTTAACATTGGGAATTTTTCAATATTCATATAGAATACAGGCCTCAGACAAACTATTTTATACAGAGTTGATAAACTAGGGTCATCTAGATGGATAACCCTGCAACCGCATGTTCAACATGGCGCATTAAAGCTTTTGGTCAAAGGGGATTTAAAAGCTATAACCAGCGTAGTTACCAGCAAAAGTTCCTCAATTGTTCCGGTGTGCTTAAATGGGCTTTTATGGAGACAACATGCACAAGGAAAACCATTGGCGGCCATCCGACAATACCCCCATTCAAATAAAAAAGGGCAAAACAAAGAGAGCCTTTGATATAAATGAGAAGTAATCATTAAAAAAATAATAGTCTTATGTAAACACACACAAATGTATGAGAGCAACATAGCTTGATACAATTGTTGAAAAATGTGTGCGAGTCTTTGTGCATCAAATGAAAGGCCTGGGCTTCAAAGAGCTGCTTATTAAATGTGCCTTAAGATGAAATCAATACCAGATGTGACCAAACGGCTACAGTTAAAATTCCCTCATTCTTTCTTTCTCTGTGCAACCACCCCTCTCTCTTTCCTGTCGTCTTAACTCCATACTTGCTGCTAATGTGAATGTTTACAGTAAACATCGTAGTCTTGCAGAGACCCAACACAACCAGTGTTAAAACACATCAACAAATACCTTGCAAGAATATTTTTTGGGGTCAGCCAATTGCAAAACTAATATACAACGTCTTCAGCAGCCTTAATATCAACAACCACCAAACATAATTTCTCTAGTTGGAAATGGAATTGGGAGTATACCTGTAGTTGCCTTTTTTCCGTAGTTGTTCCTTGAAGTGTCCAAGTGTGAGGCTGTGTGTTTTCATCATTCTGCGGTACGGGATTTCCTCACCGCAAAAGAAGTACGTGACCACTGTCTCTGAGCCCAAACTACTGTGGCAACCTGACATCTTCTTGGGATCTTTCGGCCTGTAAAGACAAACAGAGATGAAAACAATTGTAAAGATAAATCACAGGAGAGTAAAATGTTAGCTAGGCCTTTAAGATCAGAACAAGGTGGTGTTTGCCAAGGCAAGAATCACTGTTACTATTGCTCATGTAGGATTAATGACTTGAACTCTAAACCCTAATCATCAAACTTCAAGATTGTTTTAAATATTAGTTCATGACTAGGTTAATATTTGTCTAGGTTAAGCACACTAAAAAAAAACAGAACAATGTTTTAGTCAATAGTTTTCGCAATAGTTGATTCAAATGCAGTACTTTGGGTTTAACAAAGTGATGCTGTCAGAGTTGGATAAAGAGAATGATGGCCAATATTAGACAGATCAATAATGCCCTACATTGGCCCCTTTCCCCACATCGTAGTGCTACATCAGAAAGTGCATCCCAGCCTTAGACTGTGACAGAAGGTCAGCCAATTAAAAATGAAAAAGGGTTTTGCCATCAGGTGGCCAAAGCACTTTAAATACTAGCCAGGCCCAGAAACCAAGAGGAAGACCAACCAGATGTTTTTGAAAGAGGGGAAGACTAATGGCTGCAAAACATTTTAAGGACTGTCGCGCTGCATGCATGAGTGTGTCATTCATCATTGAACAATGAATTATAGTGTGCAGGAGGATGACAATTAGGAGATACGTACTCATCCGTTTGAAGCACTGAACTGCCATTTTGAACAGGCACTGGGTGACTCTTGTCTCTCTGAAGGCTTGATGTTGAATGCCTGTAAAGTGGAACCCATATAATCAATATTAACATCAATCAAGAGTTTTTAGAAAGAAATTGCATACAAAGTGTTAAAAAAAAGAAAAGAAAAGACTGGATCTCATACCTCTGTTTAGAGGGTTTGGAAACTTCCTCCAGGCGTCTACGGGCCTCTTCCAGCTGTGCGAGGGTGTTGGGAGGGGGTAGAGGAGGCATGGCAGGGTCCTGAACGAAGGGGTGTGCGGGCTGATGGGCACGGAGATGCCCGCTGCTTCCACCACCTCCCCAGGTGTGTGTGCGTGGGGAATCCAAACAGTGCAACTTCTTTACATTTTGAGTGCTGCAACAATAGACAATTTCACCGTGTAAGTAAATGGCACAAAGACGAGCAGAGGCCAGATGGTAAACCTTTATCTTCAAAATTATTGCTCAATACAGTAACGAAAAAAGAGAATGCTTCTCCCTAGGGGTGTAACAATATATCGTGTCACAATATATATTGCAATAGAAAAATGCAACAATATGTATCGTGGATAGTTCACCCAAAATAACATTTCTGTGTGATGAAAAAAACAATCATGTTTTCAGAGTTTTAGTGTCAGAACTACAATAAACTGCTATATATAATGTTGAATAATGCAATGGGGGAATATTTGTGGGTCCTGATAATGCCAAATATCTGATGTTACCAGTAAAAAGTGGCCTCCATTATTTTGAATATATTCAGTCATTGACAGAGTTCAAGCATATTTGTCTAAAATAATTCTGTATTTTCAGTTTCAGAATCAGGAATATGTTGGTGTCACCATTGTCCTGTGCTTTGGGTTTCCAGCACCAAGTCCAAGCCTATTCATTTACACCCCCAATGTAATATCAAATTGAGCATTTTAATCAACAGTTTATTTTTTGTTAACCTTTTACCAAATGTCTTGGAGTATCGCAATAATATCGTATCGTGTACGGTGTTTATCGAGTTCAGTATCGTGATATGTACGGACATGATGGTATCGTTACACCCCTATTACTCCCTTATCCCAACTAAACATTGGTAGTAGTAAAGGCGCATGCATAAGAAAAAACTTACAACACAGACATGACAATAGTTGCAAGACAGACCTGTGGGGCTTGTGCTTGGTCTGTCGGTCGCTCTCCAGGATCCACTGCCAAACGTTTTGAGAGCGGTCTGTACTGTCAGCTGGCAACTGAAGGAGACTGTTCTCCAACCCTTCCGTGTTCACCTCCTCTCCAGATTTACACAAACGCTTGGATAAAGAGCTGCAATGCCTAGCAGCAAGAAAAGAAAAGAAGTTGAAAAGCAAGTTCTATCTATTGACACCAGGACGCCACAATTAAAAAGAAAACGTATGTAAAGAAAAAAAGTTGTAGTATACCCCAAGGCCACTTCTGCAGGCTTGCCACACTGGTCTCGGCCCAGACTCCGACTGCGAATGTATGGGGCAGAACAGCAATCTGAAGACCCATGGCACAGGCACTGCACCCGCTGGGTCGCCTCCGCCTCGATCTGCTCCTTGCTTTTGGGCCCAGCGTGGTGATGGATGTAGTGGTGATGGATGTGCTTGGTTGACTGTCTGGAGATGAAGGCCTTGGCTGGCACGTGTCCATTCACAGAGCCAGACTGCGATCTGGTGCTGGGACCTCCCCGAGGGAGTGGGCGCTGTTCAGGAGAGCGGGAGCGTGGGGAATGCCGAAGCATTCCTGGAGACTGACAGCCAGGAGTCTTGAGGACTCGGGAAAGGTGCTCGTCCAGGATGGCCTGGGGGTCCTCCTCGTAAGAGCCAGGAGGGAGCAAAGGCAGAGAGTGGGATGCACTGCTTCCAGACACCTCAGATTCATCCCGCTCCTCCTCCTACAAGCGCACACAGAAACACGATTTTAAAAAGAAATACTTGCACACAGCCATTTAGGGGAACTGTTTAAGGCAGTGGTCTCAAACTCAATTCTTGGAGGGCCACAGCTCTGCACGGTTTAGCTCCAACCAGCTCCAACTCACACCTGCAAGGAAGTTTCTAGTAATCCTGAAGACATTGATTAGCTAGATCAGGTGTGTTTGCTTAGGGTTGGAGCAAAACTGTGAAGAGCTGTGGTCCTCCAGGAATTGAGTTTGAGACTACTGGTTTAAGGAAACAGAACTCAACTCTTTAACTGTTTAACTATTTTACATCGTGACAACATTTCCAGAGAATTGCAGCTATACAAACCTCCTGAATCTGTTGAAGTCTCTCCTCCAGGGAGCTCATGGTTTCCTGTTCCCGCTTCAGACGCTCCAGTCTGGCTATCAACTGTGCTGCAAATGCTGCTGGCTCCACGGGAGTCATCTCCTTAGGTGGCCGCCGCGTCCTCTGCACAACCAGAGAGAGAGAGATACAGATTAGCAAGAAGACCAGACAGGACAGGAGGGGTTGATTTCTACAGCTGCCCTCCCTGCATAAGTCCACTGCCCATCCAATGCACACACAAACACAGACACATGCCCCACACCACTGGCATGGGCCGCTGCCGGCATGAGCAGTTGGTCACGCTCTAAGGAGCCTCGGCTTGTTCCCTCTGTAGTGCAACCAAGCCATCAGCCCGGCCTGTGAAGTGAGGCAGCTTCAAAGAGCCCTCGTCAAATATCAAACGCTCACCAGGGGCGGCAGGGACACTGGCTTTACATCTAGCAATAAAAGTCACATATCGACAGGGGGAAAAAGGAGGGAGGCAAAGAAAAAAGGAAAGAGAGGGGGATTAAAAGAAGAGAAAGTAAGATGGTGAGATGTGTGCCGCCACTAGAGGAGTCAAGCGGTGGGAGATCAGAAGCGCCGAGGTAATTTATTCCCCCCCAACGACAGCGGGCACCTTTGAGCTACAGTAGCCACATTATCCTCCTTCCCCATGTGTGTGCATCTCACACAAGGATTTTCAATCACTTTCTTATTATTTTTATTATTATTTCGCGCCCTGCCTTTCTTGATTTGGCTTCCTCTTTCCATCTCTTTGTGGAGATGAAGGGAAAGACGAAAGAGAGAAGAAAGGAAGACGAGTTGCTGGTGAGACTTGCAGCAGCTCTAGGCCCCTGCTGCCTAAAAGTAACATCCCGGGAGAGGCAGCCAGTCAGCACCAAATCAGAAGGGAAATATTACAAGATAGAAAAAAAGGGAGGGAAGGAACGAGAGAGAGACAACACAGAAAGTGGGAAGTTTTTCCAACACAGAGCTTGAAATTGCATGTATGGGAGTACAAGTGCACAAAGAGTGACCAAAGTGACGGGGACGAGGAAAAAAGAAACAAAAAGGAGAGTAAGAAAGGATGAGGAGGCATGGGGAGGGCGGATACGGGTTTGTTTGACTTGATTAACAAGTTGTCTTTCCAAACCCTCTCTCCAAACACAAATTGACCCTCTCTTTTTTCTGCTTTGAGGGAGACGGGGAGGAAACGAGGGAGAGGGGGATGGAGGGTGCTTTTGGAGGACTAAAAAGGGTGCAGCTCAGTTGGAAGTTGTCACTTCCCTTGAAGTCAGCCCCATTCATCCGCTGATCAAAGCGCTCTCAGAGAGAGACAGTTGATTTTGGTGCCTCAGGATAAAACAGACTCATTTAGTGCGGCATGGCAGTTTATTAAGAGTCATTATCCGAGAAAGAGCACAACAACACAAACGGTCCACAACCGTGAGAGGGTAATGCTTTTTAATTGGGGGTGATGTTGGAGTTGTGTGTGTAGTTCAGAAGAATGGCAAGGACACTTACAGGGAACGGAGGTAGAGACACTTGGCCGTTCATCCTCATGTTGCGCTGCATCTCTCGCTGTATTTGTTTTTTACTTCCCAGCTTGTAAGGAGGGATGGCATCTCTATCAGGACACATAGAGAACGATGAAGGTTATTCACTGCCCATACTCACACACAAACATACACATGCTGCACAAACATCTTTAGCACCAATAGAGTGTTTCAAAGGAACTCAAATACAAACAGATCAACACTTAATATGTTGTGGAAATAATGGCCCAGAAAACAGTGCACTCTCACCCTGTGCAAACTCTTCCCCACCACAGACGCCCGGGGTCACGATCAAACCCGAAAGGCAGCAAAACAAATGTTGCTACTAATGCCAACGCACAATCAAGCACAGCTACCGACATCTATATGACGTTACCAATAACAATATAAAAAGACGTCTCGTGTTTCCATAAACACTCCTAATCCATCTAATCCATGGCAGAATGTTCCTAAACCTCCACCTCTTCAATCTTGCCCTTTCTTGCCTCTAAATCCAGACATCTTTCTCATCCTTCTCTCTGCTTTTTTTTCCTCTTTTTTTTTTAAAGCCAGGCCAGTTTCCTTTGCTCTGTTCTGACTCTGAAGTGTATGACCTAGCCCAAATGCAGTTTCCAGCACGTCTTTGAAAGCTCACAGTCATGCGCATAAAGCCGTCGCTCCAATCTTCATTTGGCAAGCGCTCGGCAGTCAGCCTCTGATCTTGCGCACATCAAAAGGCTGGTTTGTAAGATAAGGTAATGTTTGAAGTCGGCGCAGCGGCATTCCCTAGCGTCCAAGTAAATCCATAAATAAGATATAAGCAAAATTTCCCCCACTTCTCCTCCCCTCCCTCGCTCCCTCCCTCCCTTTATCTGGAATTCAGATTCTGATTTAACGCTGTGCCTTTTAACTAAAAAAAAAACGCAGCTATTCCAATCAAATCAGCCTCCAAATAAAGAACACAGAGGCTGTTTTTCCCACCGCGTATGCTACTTCAAAGTGGCACAAATAAAAACAAAAATGCAATGAAATGCAATGGCCAAAAATGGGTAAAATCATTGGACAGGAGCATGTAGATAAAACAAAATTCTGTAAAAATTGTTTTCAGAACAAGTAAATGTTAAATAAACTTTTTTTTCCCCCTGACTCATTTAAATTAATGTTGTAACCTTTTAAGTACTATACTGCAGTTTCTACTATACGTCAAATGGGAGATGATTTGAGTTCAGTATGAGGACGAGTCACCCAAAAAAGCTGTTGCACATTTAGTTTAAAAAAAGTGCTGAATGGTTGCCCCTATCAAAATATTAATCTTTGGTTCAATCAGCCCACTGTCCACAGACACTTTCTCTGTTCGGAGCTTTGGGGTGTCACAGGCTGGCTGTGCTTTATGGGAATCTCCTATTCACTTGTGCAAGTAATTTTCAAAGCAGCCAGCCACCCTCTTATCCCTCTAAGCTCCCGGGGCCTAACAATGGGCTGAAAGCGATTCAGTTAAGCCTTTCATCCAGCATGCACTTTATTTCTCACTCTCTGCACTTAGCTATGCACTCGCACAATTGCCTCTGCCGCAAACACAGAGGGGGGGAGGGCTGCTTTCAGGCTGAGGTGGGGTTGAATGGGTGGCGTACGTGAGCGTCTGGGGGATGGGGGTCCCAAACACCCTAATCCCAGGTGACCTGCTCTTGTGCTCCAGAAATGGCTAACCTCTCAAAGGCCTAGCTGACACTGAATCCCTCCGTTCCAGCCGCGGTGGGCTCATACCAAACCTCCCTGCGAGTTGAGATTCCTTTAATTTACTGCCAAAGCACCTCGATGAGTGTCTTATAGTCCACATGGCGAGTTACCCCCCATCCCTCCCTTTTTTCCTGGGACAATGGCAAAACCAATAAATAATGACTGTCTTTGGTGACTATGTTGTGCAAAGTCTGAAAAGAAAGCCCTTGAAGATCAAAGCTATATAGGAAAAGAACATGAGCAAAAAAGGAGGACAAACTAGCCAGTATCATTTCCTGTTGAAGAATTTGCAAACACTAGCTTTAATTAACGGATAGAGGAAGCACATTATCTCCATCTACACTTGGGTCCACTCCAAGCCCCTCCAGACTCCAGCAATGCATTAAAAACATCTCATAAACACATTTAAATGTCAATGTATCACCTGAATGTGTACCATCTCATTACCATGACTAAACGACTAGCCTAAATACTTAAACCCAATGTCTGCTAACAGCTAGAGAGAGAAGTTAGTCTTTGACCACAGGCTGAAGATACACTGTACTATGAATCTGTCGATCTAATTTTTAGGCATCATTCAAATTTGTCTATGATAATCAACAGTGCTATCTAGGTAGGCAGCTTTTTTCTTATTTTCTTATTACTTTGGTATGAGACATGTACACACTTACACACTACTGTCTGCCATAGACATAGAGTCATCTGTCAGGGCATCACTGGAGACCTCACTGTCATTGGCACTGGTGGCAGGGGCAAAACTATAACCGGACGTAACACGATAGTGGTTTCCAGGGTCATTGCGTCTGTAGGACCTACAGGGACAGAAAAATATTTTGGTTTTTAGTTGAAAGGATGGTGTAGTTGTTAAACTCAAGGCTGGTAACTGGAAGGTTGCTTGGTTAATTCATGAATTCACAGCTGAGCAAGACACTTATCCTCAGGTTACTCGGAAGGGACTGAACCTATAAGGTTCAAAAGTGTATCGCTTTCCGAAATGTGTTCAGCTGCACTCTCAGCCTTGCCACAAAGGGAACTACAGCGGCTAATAGCGTAAAACTGACAGTTTTCTTTTTCAGGAAAACTACTGTCATGGCAGAGCAACAGTTTGAAGGGGAACTTAGCTAGCTATAAACAGCTTGACTAACTTTGCCACCTTAAAAAAAGGTGACGCATCCTGTTAATGGGACAGACATCTGAAGGTAACCTGTTTGCCATCTCCACAACTGAGGCTTGTTACCACCATAGTAAAGCAAGAAAGTATGTTAAGTACTTGCATAGACTATGATTCTGGCCTTAACTATGTGGATTAAAACATCAGTTACATAAATAAATAAAAAGAAAAATGTTACGATATCATCCAAATATTAGTTTTGCCATTTAGAGCAAAAAAAAAAAAAAAAAACATTGCAAAAACGCTTCCACCATGGCCTCCCTTATGTTTGTGAAACCGGTCCAGCTATTTTTACTAGTCTTTTTTCTTGGTGGGGGGGGGGGGAGGGAGGGGGGGGACTCAAGCTCAGTTTGTCTTTTCTCTTCTCTTCCCTTTCATCTCTCTTGCCCCACCTCCCCCCTGGGGCAGCCCGGTGAGGGCTGATCAGGGGGAAAGTTAAGTGAGCAGCACATCTGTGTGAATTGCCAATGCCACTTCCCCTCAGTGGAGCATATCTGGGGCCTTTTGTCTGGGCCAGGCACCCCGTTCCTCACTTTACCTCCCCCTTCCAAACTTTCCCGTTTCATGTCATTCCTTCTCTTGTGCTGTTTCCTCTGCTAGGGCACCTCCTCCACATACCCACCCCTCCCAATCTCTCTCTCTCTCGCTCTCCATACCCCTCTCTCCTGCTGTGACACATTCCTGCTCCACTGGAATAGGAGGAGGAGGAGGAGGTAGAGAACCTGAGTCGGACCAAGAGAGTGAGAGAGAGGGAAATAAAGAACATGAGAGAGCGGAAAGAAAGAAGAGAAGAAGGGGGAAGGAGGGCCTCCTCTTTATGAGAATGCCTACTGCCAGCAGCGCTGTGAGGGGAGACCCAGCAGGACTATAGCCTACGGCCCCAACTCAAACCTGACCTTTGGAAGCTCTCGCTCAGAGTCAGGTATTTAGCACAGCTGGGTTCACATTCTTCCCTCGCTCACCCCCTCATTCATGCTTTCTTTCATGAGGTGCCTCGCCCCCCTCTGTCCTTCTTTTCCGCTCACTCAAAAAGTGTGCTTATTCTCCATCCGTCGGGGTTTTTTTCCTAGATAAAAGTGCGAAGAGAGGCAGTTGAAAATCAGAGGAGAACGGTGGTAAATAAGAAACGGAGGAGATGAAGGCCACGGTCTCTGTGACTCACAGAGGAGCCGCTGCTGCGTGTTGTTTTGTGAATAACTCGATTCAGAAACACAGAAAGAGAGAGAGAGAGAGAGAGAAATAAGTTCCACATGCTTCAGATGAACAAAAAAGTGCCCCGAGAGAGAGGAAAAACAGACTGCTCAAGGAGCATTCTTCAAAAAGAAATCAGGGAATAACATCAAAAAAAGAGAGAGACTTTGCTTACTCTCGTCTAGTTCTTAATCATCTCCTACATAAACAACCAGACAAAGATAAGCAGAGATGAAAGGTTCTGTCACCTTCTTCAAGATCACCCTCCCAATGGGCTGTCTTTGAGACAGATAAACATTTGTCTGGCACCACACCTTGATGGGTCACCTCATTTACAACCTCAAGTGCTGTGACAGGTATTCATTCATCAAACCAGATTTCCCCTGGTGTTTGGTTAAACCCAGACTATATACGTCTTTGAACAACCAAACCAACAGCTCGTCAAGACATCTAAAGGTGTCAAACACACATTACATAGTATAATAACTGAGACTATTTCAATCAAAATAAGCTAAATCTTGTGAGTTAGGTACTTTTTTTTTTGTTAATAAAGCAAATACAACAGTTTTATTTTTGAAGCGGTGACATTTTTTGGTGTGTGCCACTTGTTTTATCTATTTGACGGCTGAAACCAATTTTGCATTGTGAACTAGCCTTGATCCTTGAAGATGATCCTCTAACGGCGGAAGAATTTCAAAGCAGAGGAAACTGTGTGGAGCCAGCAGAGGGCCTGGTGCAAGACAATATTTACATGAAAGGAAGAGCTGCTCTATTGATGTTTTTTTTCCCTTCTCTCTCTCTCTGCGTAATGCAAGCCAGGTGAGAGCAAACCGCTCCAAACTTGCAAGAAAGGGCCTCTCATGTTTAAAGCAAGAATTCAGTGCAATAGCTACATGAAACAGTATAATACGCTTAAAACTCATTACCAATTTATTAGTTTGTCATTAACCTGATCAATGTATCCAAAGCGACTGGCATTACACTCACAGAGAGAGAATTTATCCTTCTGGAGTAACCTAAGAGTTAGTGTTGCTCAAGGACAGTGATAGCTCATGGATCAAACAATCTTTGTGATGTTTCAACCCACAACAGTTACACCACTGGGTCTTTAATCACTAGGCTGCGTGATACACGAAGCAGTACCAAGCATGTAGCAGTAGCAACTTTGCAGGATTATGAATTTTTAGTGGTATCATATAGGGAAAAAGAGATTTTTTGACGCCTTACCTGTAGCTTTTCTCTAATGCTTCCGCTGCAAGAAGGGAAGGTGGTGACCGTAACGCTTTGGCAGACAGACCCACTACAGTGGCCAAAGCTTTGGCTTTAAAGTCATTACAACTCCATTCTTCCTCTTCGTTTAGAGTCGGCATCGGCAAGTATCCGCACACCAGTTTTAGGCCTCCTAGTCCATTGGGATTCACATGACTTGGGTTCTCGCATCCGGTCCTGACGTACTCAAGGTATATGTCTGAGGTCAGGAACATCTGATAGGCATTCTCCTCCATAGCCGTCTGGATCTCCAATTGAGCCTGATCAAACATCGCGGAGTCAATCTGCTGACGCTTAATATTATCCCTAATAAAGGTCTTAGTGGCAGGTTTAAGCTGCTTGGCCACAACGCTGTTGTTCTCAATATACCGCTTGTAAATGGCTTTGGCAACTCTGTGCGTTTTGGTATCCTTGAGGTCCATTTGCCTGAAACCATTGCAGGCGAACCAAAAATCTAAAGTGTCCTCACATTTCTCACGTTCAAGATATGCCCGGAAAAGTTGAGCACCGTCCTGGTCCCCAAGAAGGAAGTGCAAAGATTTGGTCCACCGGGCAAGAGGGGAGTCCGGTGATGCACTGCCCTCCGGTTCCCCAAGTCCATCCTCATCCCTCCTGGTTGTTGAACAGCGAGGATCAGCCATAATGGTTTTCACAGGATCCTTCGGTCTCATCATGGCCAGTTTGCTGGGATGGTGGCATGTCGTCTCACCCTCTTCCCCTGGGACCGGTGGACGTGGGTCATCTTCTCTGAAGCTAGTGACCATAGGATCTGTTAGTGTCCTATTCATGGCTCTTGCAGCTCCAGCAGCAAAGCCTTCAGTGTGAAGCTCAGCTGTAATCTCCTCTCTCTCTTAAATCAGCAGGGGAGCTTCTCTCTGAAACACAAAGTATTGATCTCATCAAAACCAGATCCGCCCCAAAACTTCAAAAGAGTCACTTCAGACACACATATCTACATTGTGCGCACTTGCGGTGTACAATCGGCTTCGTCGAATGCAATCAAAGCGACCTGGTTTAAATTCAATGCAGGCAAGATATGAGATATTTATAACTTTAAAAAAAATTAGATCATATCAAATATTTTCGTACCGGGTTACATTCCTTTTTTTTTTTCTTCTTCTTGCATTTAAGCCCAGTCTGAATCACCTCGACGCGATGAAACGAGAAAAACTTCAAAGAAAACTGAGCCTAGTTTGGCAATTTTTAACAAAACTAAAACGACCAAACATCCCATTCTCGGTTGTATGAATAAAATAAAATCTACAACGGTCTAAAAAAAAAAAAAATCAAGAAGCTCATAACTCAAAACTCAGATGGTTTTAAAACGGCGGCATAAGAAAACCGCATTTCACTTTACCGTTCACAATGTTTAATTGTGCAGATAAAATAGCGTAAATGTCGACTCGTTGCGCTGAAACCGAATCGCAATAAAGCGCAAAATAACGTGAACCCATTTAATCGATAGCATGCTTACTTACAGTATCTGTACAGTACAGAAACTTGCATTAGCCAATATCATCAATTCGAGTTCAGAATGACCTCTCTTAAAGAAGGTATAATTGCGTAATGTACATTAAAACTACATACAATTATAATACAAAAACAACAATAATAGCATAGTACAAAGCTACACTTTCAATGAAAAAGGCTCTATAATGCATCATACAACTGCATCGAAACACTAAACAGAAGAGTCTTTAAAAACACATTCAGACGCGTCTCTAAACTATTCGTGCAGTTTTAAAGAATTAAACAAACATCGGAAATTTCCTTACGGATATAAAGAGTGCTCGGATATCCAATCCATGAGAAATGAAACAAAAACATGCTGCATTCAACTTCAAACCCATCAAGAAAAACAAAAGTGTGAGATCACAGGGGGTGAAGTCTCATAACACCACCATGAATACACTTTAAACACTCTAATCTAACGTCAAAACAACACAACACAAACCCAGACCCAAAACACGCGCTTTAACGCAGTGTCTATCACAAATACTTTATTTCACAGCGACACATGACTTCAAAGTCGGTAAACAGCACATCAAAGCAATAGCATGGGGCCAGCGCTGGGAGAACACACACACACACACGCACACTGCTCGAACTCACCATCCATCCATGAGTTCAGTCCCCAAAAGTCCCAGTTTTCCAACAACAGAACAAATATAATCCACAATATATATCCAATTGCGCGCAGTCCTCTTGTCCTCTGATGTTGTTTAGTGTCAAACGCAGATTTGAGGTTTTCCAGCGTACACTTCCTCCAGTAAAGAGCACACTAGATCCCTGTATAGTGTGTGTGTTTGAATGCGCTCTGGTCTCTTATTCCAGTGTGGACTGAGCTCAGGGTTTAAGAGCGGACATCAAAGCGCGCAGCCGACCGCACGGTCCCGACAGATACATACAACACTATTCCTCTCCTTCCCGCTTTAAACCCACACAGCTCGCTCCAAAAAATGTCTAAACGCACTTATTTATTATTATCGATGCTTCTAACCCGAATGCGCTCAATGAGTCACTGAAAGTGCCCGTTCGCTAAAGTCCGTGAGAGGAAAGTTTCAACCGAGGCGCGAGGACCTTATCAAAGCGCAGAGATCTTGAGCCGACTCCCCTCGAGCTGTGGAGCGTCAGGAGTAAGTGATCCTGCTGTTGCTACAGAAACTTTAAAGACACAGGCCGCTTTTTCCCTCTGAGGACTCGCAGTTAACTCCTTCGTTACCATATGCACAGTTAACCCCTTCGTTACCGCATACACATTTAACCCCTTCGTTACCATATGCACATTTAACCCGTTCGTTTCTGCGTTCAGAATCTGAATCTGAGTGAGAACGAGCTTTATTCGCCAAGTGTGCGCAAACACACGAGGTATTTGTGACCCTGGACCACAAAACCAGTCACTTTTTTTTAATTTGAGATTTTTACATCATCTGACATTAATATTTGGCCGAGATACAGCTATTTGAAAATCTGGAAAAAAAAATCTAAACATTGAGAAAATCGCCTTTAAAGTTGTCCATTTCGTGATTTCGCTACATCCACTCACAAAAATATTTATATTTTATATATTTACGGTAGGAAATTTACAAAATATCTTCATGGAACATGATCTTTATTTATTATCCTAATGATTTTTGGCATAGAAGGACATTGCTGCAAATATACCCGTACTTGTGACTGGTTTTGTGATCCAGGGTCCCATTTGTTGTGGTTTTTACAGGAGCTCTTGGTACATGCATACATATGAGAACAGACATTTAAATGAGACTAAGGAAAGAACATAAATAAATAAAATAAACAATAATAATAATGTGGTATACATCTGAAACAGAAGACTACGGTACGTACAGCTCTATAAATAAAATGTGTATATGTATTTACAATGTATGTATTACATATGTATGTATTCACGCATAATAGAGCTGTAAAGTTTGCTACCCCTAAAAGCTCGAGGAGAATAAGCCTTAATGATCCATTTGGAATTTCCTTTGGGTTTTTATAAAAGCAGTTTTCACTGAATTTTCCATTTGTGAGTAAATTGTGACAAAAAAAAAAAAGTATAAAGTCAAAAAGAAAAACCCTAATGCAGACATATACATTGATGATTAAAGTTAATGTTAAAAATTAAAAGATTGCCAAATATAAAAAAAAAAAAAATTATAATTCTGTCATCATATCATGTTGTTCCAAATCTCTACGACTTTCTTTTTTTCTTTCTTCTATAACGCAAACGAAGATATATTTAGAAAAATGTCTTGGTGTTGTTTTTCCTTTCAACACAATGCAATACTATTCAAAGAAAGACATTAAAATATCTTCTTTTGTGTTTAGAAGAAGAAAGAAATGCGCACAGGTTCTGAACAACACAATGGCGGGACTAAGTGAGTGACATTTTTGTGTGAACGAGCCCTTTAAGACCCGACGGGGTTAGTGAAAACAGCACAGAAGTTTGAAGTAGGTTACTTTACAGTAGCAGTATAGTTAAAAGTCCTTCTCAAGTCGAAAAGTGAAACTACCAGAAAAGCTTGTCCTGCATTTTGAACTAGTGAGGGAGGACGTTCCACTGATTCCACTTATGATACTTCAAAGGCTCCAGCGCTTCCTTTGATGTTCTACATTCACTTTAAGGAGCAGGATATTATAAAATACATGCATTAGTGCTAAATGAGAGGAATTTAAAGAGCAGATGTGAAGCTCTGTACACATCGCTGTCATATATATGGTGAGCAGAACATAAGAAAAGGACACATTTTTAGACCAAAGGACTTTCAACACAGCTCACAATAATCGAAGGTTTTCTCTACAGTCCACAAATGAAACACACACTCTAACGCTCTATTCTAATTCTAATGACTTTAGGAAGTCATTGTCCAGGATGGACCATTTACAGGCTCATTGAGATTCATAGATATCGTTGGACAACACTGCAAACTATTTTGCTTTGCGTGCAATTGCTTATTACTAGGGGTGTAACAATATACCGTGTCACAATATATCACAATTCGAAAATGCAATGTATCGTGGATAGTGATAATCTGTATTGTATAAATTACCAAAAATAAAAATTACTGTGTGAGGAAAAAATTCAAGTTTTCAGAGTTTTAGTGTCAGTACTACATATATATATAATGTTGAATGTATAATAATGCAATATTTGTGGGTCGTGATAATGCCAAATGTTACCAGTAAAAAGTGGCGTACGTTATTTTAAATATATCTAGTCAGTGAAAGAGTGCAAGCATATTCGTCTAAAATAATCCTGTGTTTTCAGCTTCAGAATCATGAATATTGTTATTCTGGTGTCTCTATTGTCCTGTGCTTTGGGTTTCAGCACCAAGTCCAAGACTATTCATTCACACACACACAATGTAACACCAAATTTAGCATTTTAATCAACAGTACATTATTTGTCAACCTTTTACCATATGTCTTGGAGAATCGCAATAATATTGTATCATGAGTTCAGTATCGTGAAATGTATCGAATCGTGACATAATCGTTACACCGCTATACTTATTGCTGATCAGACCAAGCTAAACATGTTTAATAACTAACAATTAGGAAGAAAATGCTTTTAAATTCCTCACTTTATAAGTACTTTTTTAAAGTTAACCGCCAATGGCCAAAGCTCTTTTTTAAATAATTTTTCTTTTTTTATTCCCGTTTGGTAGTTGCTGAGTGTTCATTTTGCAGCGGCTAAAGCGAGCGCGTCTGAGAGCGTGATGAACGCTGTGATCAGTAACTGCGCTCAATGACTGTATTGTCTGCCTGCTCTTTCAGCTCAGGGCTAAACTCTCAGCAGTTTGCTTTGAAGTGATTATCCCTTTATCACAAGCCAGAGCAAAGACTTTAGGGAGAACAATGGAAAATGAAAGCAAGTAGGAGGCTTATGGCAATTATCACAGACGTCCACCAGGAGTGAAGTGTGAATGTCCACTTTGTGAATGTGTGTGAATGTGGGGGAGGAGGAAGGCATAGACGCAGGGAGGCAAAAGAAAATGAGACAGATCATCATTTGCATGGCATACACAGAGCAACGACCATGCTTTTGGAGGAAATGATGTGGCTTAGGCAAATAAACAAGACAAAATCATTAAAGAAATGAAAGTTCTGCCATCATTTACTCATCCAGTGTCTTTCCGAACCCTTACGACTTTGACAAAAGAGGAATTTCCAAGCTACTCTTTTCTATACAGTGAAAACATAACGTGAGCAGGGTTTGTCAAGCTCTAAAAAGAACCATAAACATACCTTAATATAGCACAATAACAGTAGAGTAAATATAACA